CCAGTAAACCTGGCAGCAGGAGGAACAGCATGTCTGAAGATCTTTCAGTCATCAAGGCTGAGTATGATTGGCGGAGGTTCCAGCTGGAGCGCAAGTTACAAAAGGTACTGGTAATTTGGTACTTGGTTGGAAGAAAGAAAATTTAATGCTTGAGTCCTCTTCTACTGATTTGAAGTTTATGATATAAGGAAAAAAAATGATTGTCTTTCAAATCTTCAGCTCTTATTTTGTTGGTTGACAATCCACAGCAGTGGTCTCATCATTTGCCCTGCAAGGTCCTGGCTTAGAAGAGGAAATATGATAACCTTTGCTTTATCTTTTATAAGGTGTTGGACGCATTGAAAGAGAAAGAGGAACAAGTGGCTGCCAAGGAGCTTTGGACCATTGTAAAGTCAGGTACAGTCATTGCATTTAATAATTGCTGTATTTATATCAGCAAGTTAAGTATTACTACAAACATTTACCATACATGTCGATAGAAGACACTCATTTTCTTCCCTGGATATGTTTAATATTGTGTTTTTGTTAAAAACTAACATGTACTGAATGATTTTTTTGTCTTCGCTCCTCTGCCACTCACTGGAGCTGAGACTGTTTGGATGTGAGTAACACATTGAATGTTGACTTTATGACTTGTACAGAAGGAGGCAGGCTGGCAGAGTTCCCCATGCCTGGTGCAGAGGCTGTGTTGTTGGACTTGCTGCTGACTCGGGCAGTGGAGAAGAAGGAGACCAGACTAATGACAGTAAAACTGCTAGAAGTTTTATGTAGTAAGTGGTCTCCTCCTGTTTGAAGTTAACGATCCCCTTCTCGTAATCCAATCCAATCATTTTATTTAATTCTGTTAGTCTGGTACGAATGTATTTACATTTAGGAAGCTCATGGTGGGGGGGGGGGTCACCTCAAGTCTTCCATAACCTTTGAACAGCTTTGTCAAAACAAGCCGGCTGCCATGCAAATTGCCACTTACCCATATTTAAGACATGGTTTAATTTTTCCTTGCAAACATAATGATTAACAGTTGCATAAAGCATATGACCAGGTTTATGAACTGACATCACATTGCTGTCCCATGTACCTCCACTAATGAATAACTTGCCAATGTTCATGTATGTCCACTATTTCCCTGTTGAGGAAATGAGGAGTGACTAATTGTGTTTTTCCTCAGGTCTGTACCGAAAAAGCATGGATGTGCTGAGCAGTGTCTTGCTTGAGAAACAGGCATCCTACTGCAAGGTGAGCAGGTCTTGGAATTTGACCTAAACTGTTGGTAATTACCCATTGGTTGTGGCTAAAACACAACTTAACAATCACTCATATTGTACTTAATCCACAGTAAGTTAAGTCAAGGGAAATAGCTTTTCCTAGTGTATTATGTAACTACATACTGGGACTTGCACAGTTGTAACATAACCATGGTTCTTGGTTTAGGTGTCTGGGGCCACCAATGCCAAACGCCTGTATGAAGGTTACAGTGAGACTCTGGGCCATCTTTATCTCCAGGCAAGAAACAACTCAGGGTAAGGATCAGACATAGCACTTAGCAGATTGACTAAAGCTACTTCTACTTGCTAAGCATTGAATGCTTGTCAACTTGTTGGTAATGAAATTTACTGGGTTTATTCAACGATGCTAGTCACTTAACATGCAGTAGGTCACTCTCATCTTGCAAATATTTCAACAATTAAATCTTGCAATATTGCTGTTTACCAAACACACGTACCAAAGGGTAGTCCAGACGTACATTCGTAAGTACTTACTGTGTGCTGTACTGTCACAATGCATTGCAGACAAGAGTTCCAAGACTGTATCTGTGAAATGATGTTGAAAACCCTGGAGAAGTGGCTGCATATCAACACACAGGTAGGAAATGTCTCCTACACATGTCTTTGTGGAAAGATCTGTTAGTTGCAGCATTCTGAAAAAAAAAATCAGGATTTTCAGCTGTATGATCACTAGTATTGTGATGGCTAGACAACATTTGGCATAGATCTTTACCCTTCACCCATACTGTTTTGCAATCCTTCCAGTCCTACAGACAAAATAGCAGCACTAAGGATGCATGGCAATGCTAAATCAAGTTTAAGTACCTGTATCTGTCTCTGTGTGTGTATTCCTTAAACACATGGACATACATGGACAGATACAAGCAACCAAAGACAGCGTTCAGCATTGATTACACCTTTATGGGATTTACTTTTCTGAACTAACATGGCCCTGTTGTGCTGCTGTCTGACATTCCAGGACCAGGGAGTTCTGGAGGTGTGCACCAACTGTCTGTGTTCTCTGCTGACTGTGGTGGGATCAGAGCTGGACTCATCTGCCAGGTTAGCTGGATGTGGTTTATGTAGAGATAAACACTGGGCACTACAGTAGACTAGTATTACAGATAAGTGGCAATATCTCGCTCACAAAATCTCTAAGGTTAAAACTGAAATGAGAAAGGTACATGTATCTTCTCAATGAAGTGGTGTAGTCCAAAGTGTTATGATGTAAAAGTGAAATCCTGGTCTTAAAAAGTGTTTTATATTGAAATACTGTAGTATAAAATGTTGTTTGGGATCGCTGTTACAAGGCTCATGATAATAATGTAGAAAGCCTCTATCTCCATGTCATTCAGAAATATCATCAAGTATTTAATTTAGTGGTTAAGTTGCAGTTCGAGTTGTCATTTTAGATCTGAGGAGATACAAAAGATGCACATGAGAGCAGACTGCTCAGTTCAGTACTCCATGTTGTGTTATTGTAGGGAACTGATGCAGCTGCACTTCAGCACCATCAAAATCAAGATCCTGGATGAGAGCCTCCCCAGGTCAGTACAGCTTACTTCAGTCATCAAGCCAATGTGTTACAGTAATCTTCTGGGAGATACAATGTAACTACTATAGCTGTATTTCTTCTATGAAGGGACGCTTTTTTGATACATGTATTTCTAATTTCAAGTAGATGCTTCAGGCCAAGTACAGGTGTGCACTTGAATAATTTTATATCCGGAGGTGAACTAACTGCATGCTTGTGTTCAGGGAAGTACGGAGGAGCCTGCTGGAGCTTGCTCTGCTGCGGGCTGGTGGCTGGGTCCAGCAGAGTTCTTCTCAAGAAAATGGAGAGGACATAGCTTCAGAAGGAGGTGCGCAAATTTACTCTTCTCATCTACTCAAGCAGGGAATCTGAGGTATGACATACATGTAATCTTTTCAACAACTTTTTAGACACAGGTAAACACAAGTAAAGACACAGAACTGCTGTATTTTCCCAGCTGAAGCAGTGCCGTTGAGTAACAGCACAGGAGAAAACACTACAGCAATTGACAGCAAACAACCACCTCCGACAACGAATGGAGACTTCAGCGGAGTTTCCTCATCTCAGGAAGAAGAGAAGGACCGGTACAAGACAGTGCGAGCTATGCTGACTGATCTCTGCCTGGAAGAGTTTCTCCCCAAGTTCCAGGAGAATGGCATCAGGGTGAGTCATGTCAACTCATGCCAAACCTGCTTGTAACTAAGGCCACATTTAGACAGCACTAGGACTTGCATCAGTACACTAACAGTGCACACCCCAGCAGCCTGTCAGCTCTTAGGCCATGGCCTTTTGTCAGGAACCATATACTGTACCACTAGGACACGTTAGAGGGTCTTGTCTTGATCAAGCTTGATGTATATGTGGAGGGCTTACTACAATGTAGTCTAAGGTTTTTATTCTTCTGTGATTGCCCCTCAGCCTGTTGATAATTGTTCCCCCTCATTCCTCCAGGATGCCACTTTGCGGGCTAACCGGGGTGAACTGAAGACAGTCCTGAAGGAGAGCGGCTTTGTGCCTGGCACCATATTGGAGATCATGTTGTACCTGGACACTCATGGTTGGTAGACAGAGGGGCAAACTATGCCTCAGTAGTCTTACAGCCAACCCTCTTGGACTTGCTCTGAACTCCTAACATGTCTGCAGTGACCCAAAAAGGACAGACTGAATAATGCATGGCTGTTTGTGTGTGTAGTTGGAGATCTTTGATATCTAAGCCCTTGTATATGAAGTCTCTTGTGCACTTACTTTGTTCCAAGCTTTAGTTTCCTGCTAGATTAAAAATGTTTCTTGACTACTTTGTGGTGCTCTTGTATATCTTCTGCAACTCTGATGCTTAGATTGCTTTTGACTGTTCTCTTTGCTTCTGTAAGGTGAAAATTTACATAATTAGAAAGTAGATAATGTTCTAGTGAAGGTAAGAAATACTATTCCTATAATACTGAAGCCTGGCTTCTTATGTTGTTTGAAGGTGTTGGTGCTAATACTGGTCAGCACACAGGCACCACATCATGTAAGACTAACATCAAGGAAGAACAGCATAGAAAATCCACCTGGCCCACCGTACCAAGCTCAGAGATGGCAGCTCAACATAGTCTGTGCGCTGCAAAGCCCAGCAGACCAGTACTGGAAAGACCTGAAGCTTTAGGATCACATTTAGATGCTCTGAGAGTAACACAGAGTGATGATAAATTACACAACGATGTCAGTAGGAACAGCAATTATGACTGCAAAGAACAACTTCATGCTGAACCAAAACTAGCCTGGAAGGTGCCTGCTGAACAAAGCCAAACTGTTAGCACCATGAGTGGCACTTCCAGACAAGACAGCAAAGCAACAAAGGCCAACGGAAACAGGGAGCAGCATGGAGCTTTACAGCAAATACTTCCGAAGAATACTGCAGACGATTCTGTTTCTAGTACAGACAACAAGGATGATGGCAGATATGCAGCCAAAACCTTCCCCCTCCCATGTCCACGGTCCCTGCCTCTACCACCTCCAGCATTCTTTCAGTTTGTGCCCGGAGATGAAACGGGCAGAGAATCTGGAAACAGCCGGTTGTACTTTTAGAGAATGACAGACAAATGGCCAGGCTTCATTAACACCCCTTACACTAAGTTACAGCCACATGTAGTCCAGCAAATGTAGGAGTCTGAAAGAAGCTGTTCCTCCTGGTATTCCACTAGTATTGAAGGAAGTGTTAGGATGATGTGATCTTGCAGTTAACCAGATGTTTCCACTCAGATGTTGAAATATTATGCAAGGGAATCATTGACTGGAGACCAGAGACTGGATATGTGCAACTATAAGAAATTGTCTGGTAGAACCAAATTACTCTTGTGCAGGAAAGGCTCTCATCACTTGGGCTACAGCAGTCCAACCCTTAGGACTGGAAATACGTCAATGTTTTTACTTCTGGTGAAGGAGATATCCAGTCATTGTGATTATAATGCATTATATTACTTCCGGAAGGTTTGGAATCCAAGATTTCTTCTTTTTTTTTCTGTTAACTTCAATGTTTATACAAGGGCTGTTCAATAAAGTTATTGGTATTTAAAAGACTAAAAATGTGCCAAAATTCATTTCTTTTACTTTATGGGAAATATAAATAAGGAAAGAGTAGGTCATGCACTGATACATTTTACATCCTGGAAGATGTATAGAATATCTAATCATAGGGATGGGCTGGAACATTTAAATATTTTGGGGAAGGATGGATTGCTTTGCAGGCACTTCACAATAAGGGCAGCCTGATGCTTGAGAACAGGCCAAAGAATGGTTTGGAGTGAGCTTTGTGAAGAATTTACAGCATTTTGCTATGTTCATAGTTACATGACAACATGAGGCCATGGAAGCTTTTGAGTACGGGATAAACTAGAGATTTTAGAACCTTTTAAATGCTTTTTGTCTACATAATTTTCAGGCATGCAAGGATGAGAGGCTATGGGTAAATCTGTGGTGGTGACAGAAAGCAGCATGTCGCCCATCAAAGCTAAGTCGTTCCTTTGAGTCAGCACTTAAGGTATAATGGGTGTAGACTTTGCACAGTGGGGATTTTGGTGTAGTTCATTTTTGCATTAGAGTGATTTTGAAATAGTACAAGGGGTTTTTGATCTAGAACATTCTGACAGCACGACCTACCCAATTAACTGTGAGTGCTCAATAATCGGATGTCCTAGTTCTGTCAAAGTTTACATCTCGTAATGAGTGTTTTTACCATGCCTTTGACGATATAAATAGACATAAACAAAGGCATCTTTGTAATTTGTGTGGCATTTCCCCATGGTAATTAGCTTCGATGTTCCAATAATTTGTGGACGATGTTTGGGCCTCAAACCATGCGTAGGCTTTGAAATTATGATGGATTTTTGCTTTGAAATATTCACAATATTTTTATGCGACGATAGGGTCATTGGCATTGCAAATATTTTGTGTAGTAAAATATTTCGACAGTGTAGTCTGTTCAATAATAGCGTCCAAGAAATTACGATAATGTAGGAAGATAGCACTAAAACCACCCCAACGGCACGAACCATCCCTTACGTGGAGCCAGGATGCCCCGTGGGTTTGGTTGGTTGCTTAGAAACAAAGATAATCAGTCATTATAGACGGTGCTTTTGATGACTGAATGCTTTTCCATCCCCTTGGATACTTTTGACGTCACCAGGACCAGCAACTCGATTTTCTTCATGTTTTCATGTTTTGTAGAAACTAATGCACAGTATGGGCTGAAATCAATGACGTCGTGGATGTTGATATCATTCTTGTCTGAACAGCATATTTTATCTGATTTTTTTATTTCCATGTTTTGGTCTACATCACTTTAACACAGCGTATGTTGACCTAGCACAGTTTCATTTTGATTACAAATAACGCGTGACATTCAGATGGTGTCACATCATACTAATACCTCAGGATTGTTTTCTCATAATCTCCTTGGCTTTCTCTTCACCCATTATATCCTTCCGTCTAGTCTCAACTACCACTCCGTCGTCTCAGATGAGTGTCTTCCTGGGACCACGGTAATTCATATGGAATATATATATATATATAATATGATAGTGGGCAGCCAAACAAAACATCTCAACACGGCATACTGCCGCAGGCGTTACTGCTGTCGCGTTCGTGTCTTTCTACTTAGTTCTGTGAATGGTGGACTTTCATCTCCGGATCCAACTGCTAACATACCCATTTTATCCTGACGGCAAGACCTATCTGTGATCTATTTTCATATCCTCTTCAGTCATTCCATTAAAACCCTTGGGCAATTCAACACCAGCAGTTTAATATGGAGAGCTACAGGGGATGTCTGTTGTTATTACTGATTATTATTAAAATCCATTTATAACCTTTTCAATACAATAACAAACTAATGTACAACCGCGCAAGCAGTAAAATCGTTAGAAATAATACATTGATGCTGGAAAGCAGTGATGTTCTGCTGTGATTACGCGAGGAATTAAAAAGGTAGGAAACGTCTATACTACACATACAAACAGTGGCCAATCAGACATGTCACTTCAACAGTCCTAGGTATGACTATGAGGGGACGTGCATGTACCTACGTTCTGTACAGAATGCAATTGCTTCATTACACATACACTTACTACATTTGAATTACTTATGTCGAGTGAACTTGTATTGTACAAGATGTAAGACACTGAGTGTGGCGAAAACAGAACATCATCACTCTTCGTTCTGCGGGCAAAATCCGTCTCATTTTCCTGATCCTTTCTTGAACTGTGTCTGTGGAGTATGCAACAGGTCGTCCTGCGCCATGTATGGTGTATCTCTCTCTTCGAAGGAGATCCTGTCACTTCTCTACAGTCCGCATTCCCTAAGTTTCTTGTCCAGTTGTTCATACCGCTCTTTAGGTGTGGGATCTTCGGGCTCCAACAGTTCTATATCCGGAATGTAGAGCTGCTCTCTTCCGCTCAGCCGGCGATACAGCCAAAACAGCATGGCCGCCAACACGAGGATGCCAACCACGCCGCCGACGAAGGAGAAAATGACGTGCTGAGGATCGGCTGTTTCATGGCCAGAGGCTACTGCTGTTGCGTTCGTGGCTTCCATGATGAAATAGGGACGCTGTGTTGCCTTCAGGTAATCATCACCGGCGATGCCAATCAACCCCTCAATCCGGCTTACTCAGCCCTTCGGGGAATTCCGTGAGTTGTCATAAAAATCAGCGTCAATCTGTAGAATAACCGCCCTAAACAATAGGTTTTGGGTATGTTAATGTGACCCGGCGGAGTTCACGTCTTGGCAACGTGACCAGGAAATAAGTGATATTTTTGCTGGAGACGCCGTCCATGCGCTGTAGGTTGATAATTTCCCTACTACAGTGGTTCTAAAAGTAAGAAATGTTGACACGATTGCAATTTTAGGGCTCATTTTAGGGCCCTGTACCCTTTCATGTTTGGAACGCCTGTGGAATGCTGTCGTCAGCACATCATGTGCGGAAAATCCTGTTTGAATGATTGTTCACTGACCCACGGTAGAGTTTGTATCGTAATGCCAGCCATGAAACATGGAACAGAATAAATCAAGGTTAGTACTATTTTCGAGGGACTGCAGTATTTGTGTGTGTGTGTCATATTTCAGGCACTAATGAAGACTTGTAGAAGTGAAGCAATAAGCACGTAAATATCTTTTTACGGCAGGATTGAATTCGATACGTCGTGTCACCAGCTAACAAGTTTAGGGATCGTCTGGAACTTTCCAACGCAAAAGGGTCAAGGACACTGATCACCACACAGATGGAAAGTGGGGGGGGGGGGCGCAATACTAGTATCTTCCCGACAACAACTACTGACGTCTGAGGGACCATACATGAACAATCATAGGAGGCTGCCTGACAGTCTGAGTGCAATTATTTTTCAAGAGCCATGACAGGAATTAACAGAAAACATAATCAATGAAAAGGTAGTATTACACACATGAGAAGCTTGAAAATGTAGCACCGACATTTCACAATGCTAGCGCTGCTTTATCTGTCCACGGTCCTGAATTAAAAGGTGTTAGGCGAATGGTTTTCCCCTCCCATCTTTTACATGACTATTGTAATTTTCTTACACCAATTGTAATTATCTTTAAGCGATGGACGTCAGGTACTAGTACCTTCTTTCAGGCCCTTCCCATGATTGTAATTAGAATGCCACCATTTAATGTACATCAAACCACTGACATCTTAAGATATGCTTGGATAACGTTAACTCCGTTGTAAAATCTTACGCTTGATCGCTCCAACTAATTCAGGTATATCTCTCCGTGTTTGTCTCATCTTTTCCGACCTTTAACCCAAACATTCTTCCTTCTCAAATCAGTCAGACAAAATGACCGAAGAAAAAAATTCCCTGACGGTTGACATACAAACAAATGCATCGATGTTTTTCGCAGAGGCTGAATTACTCTCCCGAATTCCTGACACGTCTGTTGACGTAGAATGATTCAACCTTTTCATTACCTTTCGGTGCCTCTTATTTTTATCTGTTTAACGAGAAAATTGACCCGCTGATTTACATATATTGTTATACAAACGCACAGATATTTTGACACTGTTATCCTTTGCTATTTGTATCCTCTGTTATTATTGGTTCAATTTCTACACCCAAACACATCTATCAATATTTGCAGCCCACTAAGCTTTGAACAGGTGAACATACTGTACTATAGACACATCTACATGTATGTACGGCGGCCATGCGCGTGCCCACGCATGTTCTCCCACATCGGCCTTATAGTTGTATTACCATCCCTCCTCTTCCCTCCCACTGACCACTCACCAGAGCAACCTTAATCAACACTCAGAATTTATTTCCACAATAAGTTATTACAATATAAGGATCGTTTCCTTTAGATAAAGCTTGGAAAATCTATCAGTATAAGTACTCCGACACACCGTGACATAGGCCTTAAACTATAGGAAATCTTGCACTGGACATATATCATATTTTCCACATGTTCATATTCGCACAGACGTTTGTGTTGTTCATGTAAAATGCGTTTCATGAATCTGTCTCATCTTCAAACAGAAACACTCTTCTATTGGTCGTCAAAGCTCATTAGATCACTGTAAAGGAAACATGTTTTACAGCGCCGAATACAAGTATTTTTGTCTTCCTAAATCTGCACAGCCTTAAGTCAGTACTACCTTGTGCGACCTTCAGTCAACCAGAAACTGTCAAATCGTCTCGACCTCGACATACACATTTCTTCCACTAATATTAGCCAGAGAAAATGTATTTTTTTCCATACAAAAATACAGATACCAAAATCAGACTCTAAATTTTCTTAATTATTGATATAATCCACATTCAGACGTGACACGTTTCACATATACTAGTAGTACACGCTGTTTGCGATCAATAGAACAGATCGAGATACGGTACGGGTGCTCCATAGAGACTAGAAATATGTGGGGAATATAGACTTACAACAGAGATGCCACTAGCTCTTGACAAAATCAGAGCACGTATCCAGTTGAGAAAATGGCGGACCTGTTCGCTGCACCCATTCTATAAATCCTATTCAATAAACCTTCCATCTTACAGTCGAATCAAATATGTCCAAATCCATCCATGTCCAGAAATGATAGTGCTGCGACGGACACTGAGCACGATACTGACAAAGTTCACGATTCATAACCATTGATATAAGAAAATACAGGTCCTAAATTTCGACCTTTTTGTCCTGCTGTCTCCTTCGGGTTCGTGTTGTTAATTCCTCGTCCCTGATGCTCTCCCAGCAGCCGGCTCTCCATCTACAGACCCACCGCCTTCAGCTTGTACTCCAGCCGGAGCATCTGCACCTCGGGATCCTTCCCTTTGGGATCCATGGCCTCCAGGTCAGCCAGTAGTTTGTCATCCTTGTCGTCCGTAGTCTCCACCAGGCAGAAGATAGTCATCAGGATGACGACGATGAGCAGCAGACATCCCACAGACACCACGGCCACTCCGTACGGAGGAGCCGGCGCTAGAGTTGCGGCGGTGGCGTTGACGGCTTCCATGGTTCGAGCGCAGATGTTTGTGCGTTGATGAATCTCTTCCAGGCTGCTCTGCGTTCCAAGTGTCTCTTTGTATGGGGCACAGCGCACTGTAGCACCAGGTGATGATATTAGGAACCTATTCATAGACAGGGCGTTTCCATGGCTTGTAGGCGCGAGTCCGCTAATGACCTATCTTGTCTTCCTTCAATGAGGATAAATTATTCGCGATACGGGGAGGAACCATTTTGAATCCGAAACAGGTAGAGATGCAGACATGGAATGCCATCGAGATATCGATGATTAACTACGTGTACTATGATATGTTTCCTACGTGCTCTCTATGACATTTTTCTAATCATGTGATCCTAGACATTAGAAACAACCGTTTGTAAGTTAGTATCTACAACATTTCTCTACATTCTGGCTCATCGAAATTTACTGGGCAGACTGTGGTGAATGGACAGGAAAGCCAGCATTTCTACGACAGAACATTTCCCCTTCTCCGTTACCTTCGTCTATGCCTTTGGTTTTGCCATGATGGGACTTAACTAAACATACGCTCCTGTCTTATCTTCTTCTCTTGTTTTTAGAATGACGTCATGGAGAACTTTCGTAATCACAAGTGTATTTTGGGCTCCTGCGTCATGGTGTTGTAAATCTGCACATCTGTATGGGGATGGAATAGTTCATTTTGCACAGGGGTAAATTTAAACTCGTCCATTGCTGACAATTCATTATTCTTTCTGGATTATTTCCGAAAAATGAACCATCCTTGCACTGGCGTGAGTTTGGAATGGTTCGTGTTTGTATGGGGAGACTTTGGAGTAATTTGGAAATGTTCTAAACTAACATCATCCCGATGATTCTGACACTAGTTTTGAATGAATGTTCAGTTTCAAGTAAAATGGTTTGTCTTTACAGCATGAACAATGTTTGTAAGATTATAAATGAAATACTAGAGCAAAAAGAAATTTCCTTGTCTTTCGTGATAATTCCATCGTGTAGCCAGCGCTCATCCCTCCACATTATCCGGACAGCGCGCTCTTTAAAACACACCAGTATCAGTGCCGATCAAGAGGGTCTCGCCGGTATATACAGAAAACATTTGCTCATCAATTAATAATGAAACTATGAACACAGAGGCTCGCTTTCATTGTGTGACAAATCACCTACTCTTGTGAGTTACAATAGAAGCGATGATCAAAGCTAATGGAGCGGGAAGAAATGTTGTTATGGCAAGTATATTTAGCCCATTTCATTCAACAGTGGCATGGATGATATTTCAGCTTCGTCGTATTTTTCTAAGGAATAATGGAATGATTAGCTTTGTAAAATCACCATAGGGCACACGTACGCTGTGAAAGGTGTTCATCAAAGTCCGCCTTGTGACAATCATCCTATCAATGTGATTCGTTAAGCTCCAAATGTTCTATTTGTTGCAGGGCATTAGACCTATCAATCACGACTCGGCTATAGTTCCGGTCCGCGTCATCTTTATGTTAGAGACCATCCGTGTAACCAGTAATAAATATACAGGAGCTGTCAGGGATTAATACTTAATTATGCCATTTCATCAATGAAGATTGCAAACAAGTAGATCGATGTTGAATATGAAATCTCGATTTGTCTTACATCAGATAGTAAAGCAAGTATTTCTAGGGAGCCCCACTTCCTGATATAAACTTTAAAAAAATATCCTGCTACCTTTGAAAAAAATGCCCCCGCAACTTCGAAATGAAATAACCTAAGGAACCGTCGTGGGGTGATATTTCTTGTTTGCACGTGCCCTTTGTGGTAACAACAACAACAAATGACGCTGTCAAAACCCATTAATTCTTTATGATCCAGTCTACGCACTGGCAGGAACTGAATCGGCAACTTCGGCCACAGAATGCCGAACACTCTGATTTCCCTGCTTTTTCTACTGCTCTGCGGACAATTCCGCGAAGGTATGTATGATTTGTAGATGTGGGTACATGATGAACCATAATGAAAACAGTGCCGTTATTTTCTATGCAGAATTTTTAAATCTCACGCAAAGAAGTTCTTTGCAAACTGTCGACAAATGTTCCTGCTGTTTTGGTTATCTTTAAAACCGAAGACACGTCATCCTTCATCACCAGCACTGCTGAACATTATTGATTAATATACACAAAATGTTTCCAATATCTTTGATTCTCAATCTGCACACGATAGTGTTTAGTCTTGAGGAAGGCAATTGAGGTTGGGAGTTGGTCGGAGAGTTTGCCTAAAGTCTACGCCAGCCGTCTATGAAATTCAGTCGGAAATATTTGGGAAAGTCATTATCATATCATCTTAGATGCGACCAAAGGAGCGAACTGCAGCTACAATAGGATGGATCCCAGACTACTCCCAACCCACAGCCGACATTTCCATTTTTCCATCATGGTCTGATCATCTCTTTTTGTTTAGAACAGAATTATTATTACCCTGACACTCTTCTTTGTGTTGACCACCAGGGACAGGCGTCCTGGTGTGCTACTCATGCGCTGAAGAGTTCAAGTTTTTTTACTACAACACCATGTGTCAGAGTGAGGTGACCAGAGACAACGCCACCCTGTCAGACTGTGGGTCCAGCTCGCGATACTGCATGGTACAGTCTTATGGTTCGGTATATGAATTTAGATAACATCAATTAGTAACTTATCCTGTTGACAAACTCAATTGCAATGTCATGTTTGTAAAGAACTACACTGAAGTAAACTACTGCAATTCAGAAGGAGGATGCATATTATATTGTATACTTAGAATTGATGAGATCCCTGTCTTTCTCTACAGATTGAACAGACCAGAGTGAATGGTGTCACGCTGGCGTTCTCTCGTGGTTGTTCAGAGACGTGTTACTGGGGGTGCAGATCGTCTGGCCTCGGCATGACCACAGAGGTCAGGAAATTATATTCAATTTCAGATCAACTTTTAATTAAAAATTCAGAGCTCCCGTATTTTAAACTTCAGTTGAAGTCACACATAGTTTGTGCTTTTCATGTTATTGTTTTCTGAACAATACCAATTACACCAAAAGTATCCCTTCCTACATTCAACCCTAAGATGTGACTTTCCTGTATTTGCAGGAGTGTACCTGGTGTTGTAGTGGGAATGGCTGTAACTACTATAGCGGGGCTCCTGAACTGCACCACAGACAGCAGGCTGCACTCCACATACTGATGACTTCAGTGGCAGTTTTAGTCCAATGGTTTTATTAAAATAAGTCCACTCTATATTTGGTAGTCTATACTGCTCCATCATCATTGAACTATTGTTAGACTGATAGCATGTACCATAACATTTGGAAAGGCACTTCTAATGAAAATCTGTAAGGGTAAAGGTCATGATCAGATCTGGTGTTATCTTACAGATAATGTTATTTCAATGGTCTTCGCATGTAACATTACATGTTCTTCTTTTTCACTTGTCCTTGCTAATTAAGATCCCATGAAGAGGGTAGACCACACTAGCTGCAGGCATTTTGATCATTTTGGCTGCAGCTTCTCAGGCGTTTTGTCTTCTCCTTATCTCCACCAGAATGTACTGCACAGATATCAACACCTAACGTAGTTGACTGAAAATCTCTTTAACAGCTTGCTTTCTTGCCAGTTGTTCTGCTGTGTTTCCTGAACAGTCTGCTTCATCCTCAGCCCCGCTGGTAAGCAGTACCCTGACACAGTCAGCATGCTGGCCACCTGATGCCATGTGCAGGGCCAGCCTACCCTTACTGTCCTTTGCATTGACATTTGACCCACATTTCAATAGAAGTTTTACTGCATCTGTTTGTCCTTCTTTAGCTGCAAAATGCAGTGCAGTCAACCCACTCCCAGAGGCAGGGGTGTCTACTGGGATGCCGTGCTCAGTCAATAGGTACCTGGGATAGAAACAAGAGCTTTAGGCCTTTTTCAATTAGGCCATGTTGATTTGATTATATGGATGACATCCGCACGCGCATGAATTTTCGGCCGTTTCCAAAAAAAAAAAAAGTTTTCAACCATACTGTAAATCGTGCAAAACAGTTGCTAAATGAGCAAAAATATACCATAAGTTGCAAGGAAAACATTTAGAAACGATACAAATGTCGTAGAATGCCAAAATCAAAGGAAAAAAGACAAAAATGTAAAGAAATGAATTTGAAGAGTAGATTATTCGCCATAACATATTCTGTGCCATTTGTTCAACCTTCATGACCACGTAGATTTCATAGTGAAAGCAACTTTTTTTTTTGCAAAACTTTTTTTTTATTCGCACGCGCGCATCAGTTTTGGGGTTCCCAGAGGATGTCATCCATATAATCAAATCAACATGGCCTTATAAAGTGATAAGGTGAAATATAAAAGTTACAAGTAAGTCAAGATTGTAATGTAAATTGAATGTTATGTGTTATTGTCTCTGTGACAACATGGTTGGGTAACCTTTATTTTGAAACACTTTTCCTGGGAGAAATGCCTTATATGCTGTTGTACAATATAAATGGCATATATCATGTCTAATAAAACTGGTCAAGCTCCCCTTTAATGTTGTCAAACATGTCTATGTGAAATCTAGCATATTAGTACTAGTAATTGCACAGACAGAAAACAGACAGACAGACAGACAGGCCACACACATATTAAGTAACCTGTACATGTACCTGATGGCCTGCAAGCAGCCGGCCTGGGCAGCCAGGTGCAGTGGTTCCCTACCCATAATATCCTGTTTCAGGACATCAGCCCCATGTTGTTTGACAAGGAGCTGAGTCAAGTCAACATTATCAGCTCGAACAGCATCCATAAATGGTGTACTTCCGCAGCTGTCAGGTGTGTCAGGTGCATAGTTACATCTGTGCAATGGAAATACTAGAGTTCCACGATCTCATACCTTCGCCAAATGATGTTAGCCCTTATGACTAAGAAATTATAGATTAATCCCCCTGATTGTGCAAATAGGATCCTACATTGCATCAATTATATCTGTTGATCATATTCTACACCAGAAGACAGTCTTATCTTATCAAAGAATGCCATTATAGAATTTCCTCATAAATTATGCAAATGAGGTCCTTATTTGAATAAATTATGTTTAACTATGTTCACCTTCACATAGCTTTCAAATATCCCAAGTATGAAATTCCAGGCAGTTACCAATATGTAATTATAACATTTTCTCATTAATTATGCAAATTAAGTCCTCATTTGCATAATTGACATCTGCCTGTATTTCTGCCGTTCTTAATTACATATGACACAAGCTTGAATAGTCCTTTCATGGAATGCAGCTGATTCATAGATTTTCCTCATTAATTATGCAAATTACATTAATATTTGCATAATTGTAATATTATCATGTCAAGCATCACTTCAGCTACCTACATGCCAAAAATCACGACGATCCATCAATCGGTTCTTGAGTTATCCGCCTTTAAACATTTTTCAACTAACGCCCCTGCAGCTCCAGAGCAAGCTGCTAGGGGGTCTAAACTCACGTCACTTCTTCCCCAGCACAAGAGCTACCTACCATCTAAATTTTGTCACCCTAGCATGTCTAGATCACGAGATATCAAAACCGGAAGTTCAGCTGCAGTACCATAACAAGCCGCTAGGAGGCCCAAAATCTAATCAGTTCCACATCTCATGAAGACCTATCCACCTACCAAATATCAAGACAATCCATCTTAGCCTTCTTGAGTTATCGTGCTGACACACACACACACACACACACACACAGACACACGAACGCCCCTGAAAACATAACCTTCTTGGCGAAGGTAACTAGTAACTGATTTCATTGATTTGCTAACATAACGCTGCTTTCATACAGACTGATGGCACAATATGTACAATGCACACACAACCAGTTGAACAGAATAGCAAAGCAAGAGGTAGATATCTCAGTTTGAAATTTAATATACCATGACCATGTCTTTTATACAACTAAATGAATAAATACATAAATTATCATCAATGACTATATGAATGATAATGTAAATAATACAAATTCCAGTGTATCATGCTCTGAGGGAAAAACTTCAAAAAGTTAACTGCAACACAGTTGTGGCTAAAATCAGGTTTTTGGTCTAAGGGTAGCTGTCTTATTACAAGTGTTTCTAATATACATGTATCTAATGATGTTGCCTGCATGGGTCAAAAATGAAATTACCATACCTTTGTAGCAAAACCTGCGCAGCCCCTACACATCCATGTAGAGAAGCTGTGTGAAGTGGAGTTCTACCATTGGTACTGACTGAGTCCCACAGTGTACAGTCACAGTCCAGCAGGAAATTCACAATGTCCACATCGCCCTCCCTACAGGCTATATGGAAACAGTTCCAGCCGTCTTTGTTCCGTATGGTTAAGTCAGCACCAGCCTCCCACAGTAACTTTATAACAGTCAAGTTGGTTTTTGTGCAGGCAAGCATGATGGGGGTCCAGTCAGCCCTCTTCAGTACATTGATTTGAACACTTCTGTTTGATAAACAAAAAGGATTAAAATGAAAAATACATAACCAATTGATTAGTTTTATATGATTATAAGCTTTCCATCATATTTGATATGGGAATTTATATGGAAGGTATTCTAGCATTGTCTTTGCTCCGGTAACTAACTTACACGTTACACATATGAAATTCCCATCATTTACCAATAATTAATCGTGGCATTTTCGCATTGATTATGCAAAACATTTGCATAATACTTATTAGAATCTCTGAATGTTGCCATACATTAACATGCAGATCCAAGTCGTATTATGTACAACACTGGATTCTTAGAATTCCCTCACTACTTATGTAAATTAGGTGTCATTTGCATAATTTGATGGCCGTGCTTACCTGCCAATCAGATACCTGACACACTCCGTCTGGCCGGCCTGTGCCGCCTCGTGCAGCGGTCTCTTCCCGTCCACATTCCCGGCTTCCGGACTCAGCCCCCACTCCTCGCACAGGTACTGCAGCACGGCCCCGTGGCCATGCCTCGCTGCGTAGTGCAACACCGAGTCCCCCGACTTTCTGTGTCGGGTCTCCAACAGCCTAGCAGGGGACGCATCGGCGGCGAGGAGGGCCTGGATCTTCGGGAGATCTCCCTGCTGCGCCAAGTGACAGATCTCAGGCACGGCCATATTGCACAACAGCGAGGGGGATAGTACACTCTGAATTAAGGGGTGTGTGACGTATGATATTACGGAGATAGAAGAAAGAATGCATTATATAGTAACGAATACAATATTGACATTATATACATATGTTAATTTGACTTAAGTAAGTTTGACAAGATCCTCGGTACCAACATCTCATTTTGTATAAGTCCTTTTTACAGATACACATCCCTATCACAAAATGTACTGTTCCACTGATCATGACCTTTGAACCCGGAAGTACGTTTCAGATCTGGTTTGTTCACTTTTGTCGGGTTCCCACGGCAGCCCTCCCCAGAGTCCCCACCGCTAGCTATCCCTTACTGCAGCAGCTGGTACCCCCGACCAATAGCAGCGTGGAGGTATTGTAGCTTGCTGGGAAATTGACCAATCGCGGCGTGGCCGTCTTTCGTGGCCGTCCTACCATATTTTAGACCCAGTCATACCTCCTTGTCGGTACCTCCACGGTGTCCGCGTCCATACCCGTATCTCATGTGGTGAAAGAAAGTTTAGGAGGTTCCTTGCTGAAAAACAGTGTGTCAGTAAAAAAAGGCCTTGATCCCGCAGTGGAGTTGAGCTGTAGTACCGTCATCATGTTGCAAGTGTGGAATGCTATACAGCAGGTCTACAAAGGCACGTTATCTGTGGTGTCAAGAACTAAGGGTATTCACACAACAGGTAGGACACTTCACTTCACCATTTTTACCTGGTCTGTCTGTTTTTGTGTGTGTGTTTCCACACTGCATTCCACACTGCAGTTTCTATATAAATGGATGCATGTTTTGTCAAATCTCCTACTGCCTGGTTAATTATATGTAACATATGATAAACATAACCACGTGCGCACGTTCCTCTGCAGCAAAGAATTTGCCAACATCGTAATTCAGGTAAAATTGAAAAAGAAAGTCCAAAAAGAAACAAAAGTTAAACAAGTCAGGACAAGATTATGCAAATTAGTCACAAAGCTCCTATTGTGCAGAACAATAGCCTAAGGGTTGTCCGTCCTTGGGACTGTCCTCGAGACCTACAACACAACCAGGGTCACTCTTCCAAACCCGAGTCTACGGATATCTTAGACCGCGAAACACGCTGGTGGGAACGGGGTATGAAAGAGGCAATATATGAAAGAATATACAACCCCACCCTCAACAGGGAATGGAGACTACGGGTAGAACTCTCAGGCACTTGGAATTTGGCGCCCCCAGGCCCAAGGACAGAACCCTTAGGCTCCTGTTCTGCACAATAGGAGCTTTGTGACTAATTTGCATCATCTTGTCTTGACTTGTATAACTTTTGTTTCTTTTGTACTGCCAAAAGATTGTCTTCACTTGTTTGCATATCAATCAATAATTTGTGCTTTTAAACCTGCATTTCTCCTCTGGTCGCTCAGTCACTGACGAAAGCTAGTGGATACTAGCTGAAACGTCTGACCATTTCCAAAATCATATCCAGTTGCTTGAGTAACTGCTTTTTGGCGTATCTTATTATCTGGATGTCTAACCGTCATCGACATAGACAAGTCATATATCATTAGCTCCATATGCTCATAAAATTGTCTTAAGAAGCAATAAGAAGTTCAACATGCACATAGAGTCAATTCCGCGTCACCGAGTGGGTTGTTATTGTCATTATTTAGAAATGTTTTGAATTCTTTGTAATTGTTTGTCTAAGAAATTTCATAATTTGGAAATATTTTGAACATCTTGTCAATATTCTAAATAATTCCCTGGTTTTCTAAAACGTTTGAAATATTCCTGATGTGGATTATGACATTTCCAATAGTTTCTAAATATTTCTAACAGCACTCTACCATTTTTTACCATTATTTCGAATTATTTCTAACATTTTTGTAAATAGGTCAGTGGGATGGGAAGGAAGTAATTCACACATCCCTGTGAAGTACAGGGTAGACTGCCTGGGTGTCAGGCATTGATGCCTTACAACAAAAGAGCCACCAGTGTCCAGCAGTGAAATCTAAAAATATACAGAGGAAGACAGAAGAGTCGGATTAGCACCTACTTTTATGGGGGCAATTACCCACATCTACCATTTGGTTATTTGTTTGAAATAGTTCTAAATATTTCGAATTGTGAAAAAACACATGGGTAGTTCAAATTTATTCTAAATAAAGAGATCTTTGTACAGTCACTTTCAAAATGTTTCAGAAATATATAAATGAATTCAAATATATTCAAATTTTCATTTTCAAATTTTTGAAAAATTTAGAACTTTTGTTACTGGGGTATTCTTTTATTCTAAATAATTCAAACGTATTAGAAACATGGAGAAAAAATCCACTCGGTGACGCGGAATGGACTCTAGTAGCTAACATGTATATAAATATTATGTAGTTTTGAGAAGATATTGCTGTAATTTTGTTACTTTCGCTTTATTCATGACCTGTACTTAGCCTGTACAAATGTACAATAAAGATCTTTCATTCAATAATGATGTCTTTGCATACAGTAGTGTGAATCTTGAAATTTTCAAACATTGCTTCTATGTTTGCAGTTTTGTGGTGACCTCTCCAGAAAATCATAGAGACAACTACTACATGTAGTACACAAAAGTACATCTTCAATCTTTTGTACTCCCAGCTGCCCACAGTTGTCCCATCCCTATCAACGACCTGCACAGAGTCAGTCCTGGCAGGTACACAGAGAAGGAGCGGGAAGAGCGCTGCAAACTTGCTGCCCTGTACAGACTTGTACACCAGGAGGGATGGACACAGTACATATACAACCACATCACTGTAAGCCTTCATGCTTTACACAGATGAGTCAGATCCAGCTCGGAAAATTGGTGTTTATTCACCTCAAAGGTCTTCAAATCAATACTACAATTATAGGAAAGGTCATTCTCAAACTTAATCTAAAGAAAAACTCTACCCATTGACCTTTTTTTTCTGTAACAAGACCACAAAACTGGGCTGTTTCTGCATGTTCTACCAAAAGTAGGAAATGGTGTAGTTTTTGTTCTGCCCTAGCAGAGAGAAGCCTGCTATCTCTGATTACCTTGTTTCTCTTTGTAGGCCCAGGTTGGTGAGGAGAATCACTTTCTACTCAACCCCTTTTGGGTCTTCTCTATGAAGAGGTCACAGCTTCAAATCTAGTCAAGGTCAACCTGGAGGGAGAGGTCATTGACCCTGGCACGACCCAGCTTGGTGTGAACTTGGCTGGGTACCTGTTACACTCTGCCATCCATGCTGCACGACATGATGTCAAGTGTGTGGTACACATCCACTCTCCTTATGCTGCTGCTGTGAGTATATCATGAGGCCCTACTCCCTTTCCATTGGCATGAAAACATGTGTTCTGTTTCATGCATGTGAGGTAACCCTTCCTTGCAAGCTACCAGTAACATTCAAAAGATCTAAAATGTTGCAGTGCAAATCTCTGCAGCCTTCCTTTGCTGACATGGCTGATCATGTTATAGTAACATGCTGGTGAAGGTGTTAACATGGATTTGATTAAAGTGAAGGATTTGGAGACAAAAAGTTCTTTCTGTGTTCTCCCTAGGTGTCGACAATGAAGTGTGGTCTGTTGCCCATGAGTCAGGAAGCCCTTATACTGGGAGAGATCTCTTACCATCCTTACAGTGGTGTTCTGGTGGACCAAACTGAGAGGGAGGCCATTGCAAAGAATCTGGGACCCAAAAACAAAGTGTGTGGTACAAAGTATGATGTAGTCTGGTGTGATAGCTTGAATGGAGATTGTATTTGACAGCAAGTCAAGACCTACCAGAACTTTTCCCCCTTATACATGTATAAAGACCTGGCACTTTTCCTGGGGCTCGTGAACTCACCTCCATGTGCTTTTACACTTCCAGGTGATGATGTTACAGAACCATGGAATGGTTGCTTGTGGGGAGACCATAGAAGAGGCATGGGTGTATACCTATGGTACCATTCATGCCTGTGAAATCCAGGTACTGGTATTATCAATGGTTTAGCCTATGACTTCTAAGGCCTTACTAGTAGGATTTGGAGCCTTGTAGTAAATTAATAGGCATACCAAGTAGATAGCAAATTAAGTGCTAGTTGTTGGTATGCACGTTTGTGAACAACATGATTAAAATATATATGGATGCATGATTGGCATTGACCCCTTCATACTGGATTAATTTTGGACATGTACCTAGAAGCTCCTTTTCTAACTGAATTTACAATGTACTTGATTGTAGACTGATTTTGTGAGCTGATTACTCCAGAAAATGGAATTCATTAGATATTCATGGTCTAAAGCTTCTTGGTAGTATGTTTTGGTCTCAGGGAGTAGATCTAGTTTCTTAATTTTTTGTATTCTGCAAGAAAGTTTTTGACCATTAATTTTTTTGTTCAATTTGGAAGGTGCAAGCCATGGGTGCTGGCATGGACAATCTACTTGTGCAGGATGGGAAGCACTTGTGGGAGAGAACAGCCGCACTAAGCTCGTCTGAAGCAGTGTCTCATCAGTCACGCACCCAGCTAAAGTGGGCACCGGGCCAGTTGGAGTTTGAGGCAATGATGAGAAAACTGGACCGACAGGTAAGGAGGTCATGCTAGTAGACATACATTGCAGGCGATTAAATCATTACCACTACTTTTTAAGTCATAATCTTGACATAATTTTCTTTGGGGACATATTATTGACATTCTGTTGTTTTTCTCGCCTACCATTAACAGTGTTGTTTAAACTTATGTTCAGCATTCTTTTCCGTTTCAACAGGGTCACCAGACAGGCTATCCCTACCAGCTACCTGATGTCTATGCCACAGCCAATTAGCAGAAATTCATGAAATCTATGGCGGCATGTATGGTCCAATGGTTAGCAACCCAGCCTTTAATCCCAAAGGTCAGAGGGTTGAATCCTGTTATTCCTCACTCCATCTGTACACTTCTGAAAAGATTATACTTGAGATGGGAGGCTAAACTTGCTGAGGAGAGCTTAGGGAATTAATCTAGTAAAATGATTATACTATACATAACCTCAGTCTTTCTTGTCACAACCAGTGGAAGATTAGCTGTTAATGAGCTAAACTGTTGTTTAGTGAGCTAAACTGGCTCAAGGTGCCGTCTCCCGTTTTATGATATTTTTAATGATATTACCACATAAGTACAGGATACTACTGGTAGAGGGTGCTGCTGCAGTAAAGAAGTCATGGGACTGGTGTTTTAAAGCAAGAATCCAAAACCAGTGCAAAGCAAACAGCCCAAGTACATCTGTTGTATTGTTGCTTGAATCTGTAACATATCAGCTACATGTCTGCTTGTGACAAATTATTACTTAGAAGATATTAGTTATGTCCTTGGTGCAATCTACTAGTACCTATCTACTCTCTTGATGCTTGTACATACATGTATATACCATGCAGTAACTGTTCAGTTCAGTTTAAACTGATATATTAATTGTTAATTTTACTATGCATTAATTTTTTATACAAATCATAATGTTTCAAAAGATTTGAACTGTTCCACTTCAAATCTGCTGAAAGGACCTTACAGTATTCATATATGAACATCCTTCTCATGATTCTGAAGTCAACACATTGACTAAATGCTTGCTTCTTTTATAAGTAGTTCTGTTTTTTTTTTACACATTTGGTGTACAATACCGGTAAGGTTAAAGAGATAAGACCCATTCTCTTTATTATTATTAGTCTAAGAGTAAAACTGACCCTTTCGAAACTAACCTAAACTGTGTTAATTTTTTTCAGTGTACTGTATTCTGTTATGAGCACTGATTCATTTTGAAGTAATGTGAAGCATCTATCATTGCATAAGAAGGGTGGATACTTTGATCTTCCCATCCATGGAGCCTGTCACACAGGTCCCACAATTCATCGCGGTACACCAGTCCACACTGACCACAGGTGACCTATGACCTCCCAGAGATAAGGTCTTGTTGAGGGTGGAATCTCCCAACTGTAGGAACATGGAAACAATATCAACAGTTCATTTTTATTGGTTGTATATTCTAAGTTGTCTGATAAGTGAACTATGTAAATAAATGGAAGAAAGTGAATTGAAAAACATAAATCAGAAATGTGTCCTTGCCTTGTAAATGATCCCACCATTCCCTGTGCAAGTTAGAACGTAGTTCCCTTCTGCATCAAAGGCGAACAGTTTCCCTCCAGGAGCCTGCACCTGTTTGTAGCCGCCGTACCCCGACACAACAAATGGACCTGTGGCACCTTCATGTACCGGCAGATCTGCCAGTTTGCTGCCAACTCTGTGTACACTCCACTCCAGGAACTGCATGTGCACAGGGAAACAGAATGTCCAGATGAGGGAATATCCATAATGGGCAGTAAATGCTGAGAAACAAGGCCTATCATGCTCACATGCAGAATGGCACTTGCTGAGCTAGTGCTGACTCCATTCACTATGTTGTTTTAAGGTTGGCAATAGGCCAGCTCTACCTTACTGAGGTACAGATTATTCTTGTGTAACAGTAACACTAAGGCAGCTGCCATCATCTGATGTACAAAAGCCACTGAAATTTGGTGTTGGAATATTGAAAAGGAAAACAAGCTTTCCCACAATCCTCAACATTGAAAAGAGTTGTGTACCTTCCCATCAGCCCCCATGCTGTAGATGGAGGTCTCGTCACAGCTGAACTGCACAGAGTACACCTCCCCACTGTGGGCCTGCCAGCTCATCAGGCAGTCATAACGCTGCATATCTGTCAACAAAACATGTCTTAATATGATACTGTACGCCTTCCCTTGAACTTGTACTTTGCTAATCTTATTATAGTCATAAACAAGTCCCACATGCCATCTACAGTTCAAGTCATCCTCACAAAGATTCACTTATATCCTAACATAATGTTTTGACGACATGTGGGTTGTGTCAACAAAACAAGCCAAAAATTCTCCCCATCAAAACAAAAGGTTTGTGAAAGTGCACATGATTTACCATAGAGTCTGATGACTCCGTCAGATGCTCCACTGACCAACAGGTGTCCATTGAAGGTGAAAGCTGTGCAGTTGGCACACACTGACGGTGGGTCAAGAGGCAGCTCTCTCTGAAAAATCGACAAATATTCACTGATCCTACATCAGAACATAAGAAAATCCAAACAGTGAACTTATTTTGGAACCAACATCTAGGTTTTCCAAATTCTTGGATTTTTTATTTTCCCATGCACCAACAGTTCAAAACTGCTCATCTGAGATATTTTCCTGCCTAGGATTTTGACTGTGTTGCTTTTTTCTAATTTTGATTTTGCACACCTGTTCCAGTAATTTGCCCTCCCCCCCAATTAGAGAACCATGGTAAAGGTCCTGACATGGTCCCATTGACAACCTTTACACAGGCAAGAGTCATACATATTTATGTCATACCTGTACTTTCATGGTTTTCATGTCCCACATCTGCAGCCTTCCCTCTACACTCCCAGTCTGTCTGGCCATCCCACACACAAAACTGCTCCCACTGGGGCTGCAGGCCATGGTTACAACACTAGGGTAACAAGCACAGGGAGAGATTTATTGAAGAAAAGATATCCTGGACAAAATAACACAAACAAAAGATCTGTGTCTTAAGGCCTTGAAGTCACATTTTACACATCTGAACACTGCAAAGGTACATCCATACCGTGGATACTGTGGATCTGTCTGTGACTCCACCAGGTGTTTCTTAGCCTCCGTGTCGTACAGTCTCACCGTGCTCTGTCTGCTGCCCAGGAGAAGCTACAGTAGGGAACAGGACAGTCAGAGATGGCAGACTTCACCCTACTGCTTCAAGAACCATGTGGTCTAACAGACAAAAATACCAGCACTATGTATGGCAATATTGGACTGACGTCCTACTTGGCCCTAGATGCTACTCTACTCTACTCTAATACTAAGTTATGCTTACCAGTCTACTGGGCTTGGTCACCCACTCCAGTGATTGGATAGGAGACTTGGACATGATGGTTGCTATAGTTACAGGGGCAGGGCTGAAGTTCCACACCCTAAAATGAAGACAACCTTCATGTAAGAATCCATTTTACCACTACAGTCACATGGTCTAAAATGTACACATACATAAATTTCAAATACCTTTTATTTAACTTCCCATATTGTTGACTACTCTGGTTATACAACTGAAAAAATACATGTATAGCATAACATCCAGCAAGACAATATTATCATACATGTATATCATTTTTGCTCACTTTACAAGTTGAAGCATTCATCCTGGACTAACAATATTGTTCTTTGCCACTGACAAATGACTTCTATTTCCAACATAAGTCTATAAATGTTGAGCATGAAGAAATGACTCACTTGACCACACCATCGATGTCTGCACTAGCAATGCAGGTTCCTGATACTGAGAAGCGACAGTGGGTGATGGAGGAATGGTGCTCTATGTAGTCCTCCTGTTAATGACATCATTCACCATCACATTAAGCAAGCTAAATCTAGGGATTGTTATCATGCATTATGAACAGAAGAACTAGTTTATCAGAGGCCATGGAAATGATCCAAAGTATGGCATATAGGACTGCTCTTTGCTGTCTCATTTGATCATACATAGTGAAAACTGAACCATCACAGTTACATGGAATACAATTCTGGTTGGCATCATACTGTACATTTCCATTGCTGTCAGTCATTTTCTACTGTACTACTAACCTGACTCAGCACAAGAAAGGGATGCTGCTCCTCTGTTTCTGTAAGAGAGCATCTTGTGTAAGTAGGAACCAGGAACATAACAAAACTGACACAAAAATCTGTGCAAAAAGTTTTTCAAACTGATTCCCTATAAACCTTGAGGTAGGAGAAGTCCAATGTTGTGTATTAAACCAATGGTGTAAAAGCAAGTGTAGTGTCCATACCTTTTGTAGGGATCTTTTCAGTAGAGACAGGCAACGAACCTACAAGATATGATGTGACTTTCATCATACATGTACAAGTTTGCATGTTAAACATGCATTTCTTGTTGTTATTTCAAACATTATCATACAGATGTTATAAAACACTATAAATTCCTACACAATAATGCTTTGCAAAAACACAACCAAGGAAAATGCCCAATGTCTATGTTGGTAAGGCCTTCTTCATAACAGGATTTCATCAAAAGCTAGTCTGTTTATACTGCAGCAGTAAAGATGCCCTACCGTCTCTTGGAGACAGACCACCAGCCTCTTGTTTTACACCAACTTTTGGCTCTTTTAGAGTAGAAGATGGGGTAGGGAACTTCTGCACATCCTTAAATCCTTCAGTCTCCTTTTTCATCAGGGTAGACTCCTGTGTCTCTGAAGCCAATGCATTTGATCTGGCCTGCAAATTGAAAACATAACCTCAACTTTACATCTTTGAGTGAGTCAGGCACACCTGTGCAGATCCTCAGCACTTTTTAAAGTAGAAAATGTGCATTGCAGTCTCCATCTATGACTAATGTATACAATATACAATGCATACAAGTCAGGTTTGTCTTTTCCACCATCCTTGCTGAGGTAGACTTTTAGTACTAAGTCCGTATTGGTTAGTGGATTAGGCAGCAGGAAGAAGCAGTATTAAGTATGTGCATCACTTTCAGTAAAATGCAAGCAAGATCAATGAGAAAAAAAGTAGTGAGAATGTTGTTGGGATCCAATTTAGATACCCTAACAATTGAATGTAATACATCCTACTAAACCATTACAATCACTACTATTGCACTGTTGACTGATTGTTACTTTTTCCAGTGCTCCAGTACTGGATATATGAAGTACCACTCCTGGTATCTTGTATATCATAACACCTGACCTGTGCAGCCTGTGCTTTAGACAGCAGCTCTCTGCGCTGCTGCTCCAGACTAACAGCCTTCTGCTGCTTCATGGCCTGTTTCTGCACCAGTGTGGTCTTGGCTGACTCAGCAGGAGGCTTGGCTGCTTTAGCCACTTCTACCTGAGCCTTTCTCTGGACTCCTGGGCTGACTGGTCTCTGTGGTGGACACCACATTACGACACGTTAAAAAGGGACTTGATAGCATATAACTATAGACCACAGATTTGATGAGAATTCATTCAAGTATCACATTGCATACACAGGGATCACTTACAACACCCCTTAATTACTAATGTTGCCTGTTAAGTGTTAAGTGTTCTTCTGATAAGGTAGCCTGTCTATAGCTTTTCTAGTATATCAAGTGACAACATGCTACCAGTAGTACTGTACCTGTGAATTGTCCTCTTTTTTCTGCAAGGCTGTTGTTGTTTTCCCTGCTGCTTTTTTTGCTGATGCCAGCTGTGGCTTGATGGTGGAGAGAAGGGTGGGCTTACGGACAGGAGAGGGGGAGTTGGAGCTCTTCCCTCTGGCAATCTTAGTGCTCTCTGGGTCTGCTCTTGCTTCCCTACAGTTAACAGTTAACACAAAAGTAGCCACACTTTACAGGGGGGAAGGCACCGACCCTAAGGCTATACCAGTTGAATTTCTTGGTTCACAGATTTTTTTATAGGAAATCAATGGAACAGGAAAGAATAACATATAGATATTGATATTGATAGACCCAAATGCGACCATAGGAGTTAAAATGTCAACATACCAGGCTGTATAATGTTTCAAGTTAATACCTTCGTTAATATAATTAAATAAAAAAGTAAGAAGACAAAGAATTTTGGAATGTGACCATTTTGTGGTTCCTGAATGGATCTTGTAAATAATAACATCTGACCTGGTCACCAAGAAATCAACAATAGGTAACACTTTGCAATTCCATACATTATGTGGTTGATGAGGTGAAAACCGTGTTGACAGAATGTACTGGGAGATGAATTTGTGTGTACATGTACATGTATTAATTACTGCACTATTGGGAAGAAAGCTTATAATGTACAGAACCACAGTACATGTATACATACATAGGGCCAGCATAGAATTCATCCATGAGCTCTCCTGTCCCAGCTAGTTTCACCTTCTCTTTCTCCTTCAGAGCTTTCTTCAGTTCCCTCTGCTGTAAGGCTGTAACCTGCGAAACAAAACAGGGGTGCACCGCCCATCACTACAACTGTTACATACCATCATTTTCAGCTTTCTTTGTACATGTATTTTCTATAACAGTACATTAATGTTCCATTTATCACAGACAAAAATTAGACAACTAATCATGTTAGATAATGCTTTAGCCACAGGAGAACATACAATACATGGTACTGTACACACATTTTACTATATTAAAAGCTAATTATAGATCTATATGGTAAAAGATTAAAGTAGTTGCTAGGGATATGCATTAGGTATAGTCTTTTGTTTCCTCTTCAAAGGACCTACCTACCAAAGTTTGGTGCCACTTAGTTATTGTTTGATGCTAGTGTCTAAACTAGCAACTGTCTAAACTAGCAACTGTCTAAACTAAACTATTCTTTCCACAGTTGAACAAAGGTGGCAAAACTGCAGCCTGTTACCTGCTGCCTGAGCATGTCATTCTCCTCCTTGAGCTGTGCCATCTTGGCCTGCTCCATCTCAAAACTCAGAAGGGTTGGCACAGGTGAGCACAAGTCAAGGACAACAGTAAAACCTGGCATCTCGGTGTGTAGAACTGATGCACTTACACATGTACCCTTGGCAACACTTATACACGTACGACTACTTCCCCTAGTACATAGATGTGCCCCTTACATACTACATTGTACCTGTTTATACCTGAAGACACAAAAGGATATGCATGCTGTGGAAGATTACACTGAGGAAATTATGGAGGGAGACGATAAACGTGTCTGCCCACTGCTTAGTGAAGTACATCATGAATGCCGGGTTCTGCTCTGGGTTGGACAAAAATGGCAGCACTGGAAGAAAAAAAGAAAACCACAGTTTGTTGAATTTCTACCTCATCAAAATCCATGCACAACCTTCAAAACTGGAAGGGAAAAAAGCAATCCATGCAGGTTGCACTGGTAAAATTGTCTGTGTTTCACTTTAATCAATGAAGAAATAAACACCAATTAGTGCAGCAGATTCAGTAATAAAATGTTCAAACCTACCAAACCATTCCCTCCATTCTGGCTGGCCCTGGATCTCTGGGCCAACTTTTCAAAGAATTCGGTGACTTTCTCAGTTCGGCCATTCTGCATAGCATGGACAAGGTACAGTCGCAAGAGGCACCGGGCAAGCTTATTGACACCTGTGGAGGAAAGGTCTTTTTACTCCTAGGTTTTTCATTCACTTCTATCATACGTGTTGCTGTCACACACAAAAAAGAAGATGTATATATCGCAGCTGATTTTTTGAGAAAACAAAACTAACAGCTGAAGTTTCAGAAGAAGACTCAAGGCTTTCATCAGTTCACTATGATGCTTGTAATAAAAGTTTCAGATAATTGCTGCTCTAATGATTAGTGTAAATACATTATAAGGGGTAAGTACTATAAGGGGCAGTGTCCTCAACCAATACAGTTGACCGATGATGATAATCATCATGGGACAAACAGTGATGCTACCAGACTCAGGTGCAGAATCCCACTGGAAGGAATATTTTTGCTTTGAATTTTTTGTTTCAATTATATGCTGTTTTCAGGTGAGTTATTGCAATCTTTTATGACGTTTTGTGTACTTACTTAGCAAAATGTAGTATTAAAGGAAACTTAGCTTAGGCTGTACCTGTAGAATGCGCATGCTCCAGTCGACAGAACACCCTCCGATCCAGGTGTCCCCAGTACTCCCGCAGCGCTCCTAACTCATACTGCTGGATGTACCCGATCATCTGTTCAACCACCTTGTCAGCCTGGTAAAACAAAAGACATTCTAGAAACGTCTAATTCATTAAACCCTTGTTGCCCTCTATGGATCAAAGCAGAACAGTGTTTTGTACAAAAATCTATAAAAACGAATCTTTCCACTCCATGAAATAGCAAATTTATAATTTAATTTAAAGCGATAAAACGGGAAGTACGTTTCTTTCGCCATTTCGCGCATAATCGACCCTCCCCCAAGCTGCATAGCACCTGCCACCAGCAATTTCATACTGCATGGAAGAAACTGATTCACTTACACGGAATCCCCTGTCCTTATCTGACTTGATCTCGCCCTCGAAAACTTTCAGCGTGCTGGTAAAACCGCGATAAAGTAGGTAATCTCGAACTAGATTATCCATTCTCTCTGTCGAGGTAGCCATCTTGGGGTCAATAGGGGTCAATCGCTCTCGTTCCCATGCCTTGGCGCATTGGACCAATCAGGGTGGGAAAAACATAGTACCCTGGGTCAAAGATCAAAGCACATGGACCAAGACGTGCAAGATGGCGGAGAAAAGTGGAAGTCGCGACGTCGTAGAAAAACAGGAGCAAAACGAGCTATTGACAGTTCCAGAAGGGTGGAAGGAGCCTGGCTTCTCTAAGGAAGATAACCCACATGGCATGCTAGAAGAGAGCTCCTTCGCAACGCTCTTTCCTAAATACCGGGAGCAGTACTTGCGGGAGTGTTGGCCCCTGGTGAAGAAGAAGCTTGCCGAGTTCGGTGTGCGAGCTGTGCTCGATGTTATAGAAGGGAGTATGACGGTCGCCACAACGAGGAAGACCTGGGACCCGTTCGTCGTCATCAGAGCAAGAGACTTGATCAAACTGCTGGCGAGAAGTGTTCCTTACGAACAAGCTGTTCGTATCCTAGAGGATGACGTATTCTGTGACATCATCAAAATAGGCGGCCTGGTGAGGAACAAGGAGAGGTTTGTGAAGAGGAGACAGAGGCTGATCGGACCGAACGGACAAACTCTCAAAGCTGTGGAACTCCTCACACAGTGTTATGTCCTGGTGCAAGGCAACACGGTGGCCGCCATAGGGTCCCACAAGGGACTGAGGGATGTGCGAAAAATCGTTGTGGACACGATGAAAAACATCCACCCAGTCTACAACATCAAGGCCATGATGATCAAAAGAGAGCTGGCCAAGGACCCCGTGTTGAAGAACGAATCGTGGGACAGATTTCTGCCCAAGTTCCAGCACAAACAGCTATCCAAGAGGAAACAGCCATTTAAGAAGCGAGAGAAGAAAGCATACACACCCTTCCCACCTCCACAGCCAGAGAGCAAGGTTGATCAGGAGCTAGCAACAGGTGAATTCTTCATGAAAGAGAAGGAGAAGAAGCAAAGGAAGAAGCAGCAGCAGCGCGTACGGGAGGTGGAGGCGAAGAAGGCCCAGCAGGAGAGGAGAAACAAGGCATTCATCCCTCCAGAGGAGCCAGCCCACAAGGCCCACAGTACCGCGGGGACAGAAGCTAATTCTAAAGTTGATGTTGAAGCATTGAAGAAGAAAATTAAAAAATCACAAAAGACAAAGCTTGGGGCAAATCCAAAATCTGTACAGAAGACAGAGAAGATGAAAGTCAAGGGAAATTGAAATGTGATTTACTTGCAAGATGTCT